GCCTGGGTCTATCTCATTTATCATGGTTAGCTCTATATTCTATTCTTCCTCTTAGGTCACTTTGTTCAAGCCTCTTTTTCCTGCCCACTGTAGACAGATTGAACTTTTTAGAGATGCACTCATAATCTTCCATCATCTGACCTCAATCTGCTCTGGGCAAAGTGGCCAACAGGCTCCCTCGTTGCAGTCTTAGAGGACATTTTCTTACCTTAATTGAAGTCTTATAGGATGTAAACTCCACCAGGGCTCACATTTTGTTTTCTTCACTGTTGCCTGTAAATTTAGCACTACTTGGTATCTAGTGGGGGTCTTATACATGAAACAAGTGAATAGATAAATGTCTCGGGGGCAAGTCGCTGGTAATCATTTCCACCTAAAATTCTCTTGTTACTTAGATTCAGTGCTAGTATGTTTGGTTTGTTTTTTTTATTTGTTTGTTTGTTTGTTTGTTTTGTCTCCCCAGACCTTCCAAATTAGTCATTCTCTGTTTCCTTGCTTCCTTCTGCTACCTGTTAAATTGTGATTTTCCTGGCTCTTTATTCTCAACTCACTTCTTCTAAACACACTCTTGCTTTTAGTGTGAGTGCTTTCCATGATGGCTGCCAGTCTCTTGTAATATGAAGATTCCAAATGAATAACTCAGGGGCCCTCAAATTCAGCAACTTCCATAATCTTACATTTCTTCTTGGTTTGGATAAATGATGCTAGTCTCCTTGCCTGCTCAAGCCAGAAGCCGGGGGTCATTTTATTTTATTTTTAATTTTTTTAATGTTTTCATTTATTTCTGAGAGAAAGAGAGAGAGACAGCGTAAGCAGGGGAGGGTCGAGAAAGAGGGAGACAAAGAATACGAACCAATCTCCAGGCTCTGAGGTGTCAGCACAGAGCCCGACGCGAGGCTTGAACCCACGAACCGTGAGATCATGACCTGAGCCGAAGTCAGGTGCTTAGCAGACTGAGCCACCCAGGTGCCCCCGGGGGGTCATTTTAGATTCCTCCTTTCCTCAATTTACCAACATATGGCGTTTTTACTGGTTGACTTTTAGTTTTAGAGGACAGAACTAAGGAGGAATTTTGTGTCCTTTGTTTTTACTTTTTCTTTTTTTTTTGTCTTGAAGGACCCTAAATTTTCCCCTCACTCTTTCCTCTTTTCTTTTTCATTATGTGGTTTCCAAAAAGCACCTCTCTTTCTCTTTCATTCCTGTTTTTAACACCTTTATTGAGATAATTCACATATCATATGATTCACCCACTAAATGGTACAATAAATGTTTTGTTATTCACACAGAGTTGTGTGACCATTGCCACCATCTAACATGAGAACACTGTCCTTCAAAAAGAAACCCATGGCCATTAGCATTCCCTCCCATTCCCTCCCACCCCACCCACCAGCCCTACGGAATCACTAATCTGCTGCTCTCTCCATAGTTTCCCTCCCCCTCTTCTGGACATTTCTTGTAAATGGAATCCTACAAGATACGATCTTTTGACTGTACTCTTTACCCTCTTCTTCCTCAGGGAAGGATTACTTTCCAAGGCTGCTTTTTCACATTCTTGCCCGCACTTGTAAATCCCTTTACTATAGCCAGGAATGCTTAGGGAACAGAATACCTTTTCATTACTTTTACACTTTTTCTGGAACTGTCCTTTCTCTCCACGAAGACTTGAGGTAGAAGAATGAGAGAGAATGTATTGATATCTGTTTTATCAGTTTACCTTCTCCATAACTTGAAGTTTGAATGTTCTTTCTCTTCTAATTATGCTGAAGGCATGGGTTTTGTATAGTTTCATTTGTTTTATTGTTTTTATATTGTTTTATTGTTCTCTATTTTCTTTTGGAAGAAATGCTGGGAAATTCAGATTTACACAGTTGCCATTGCCTTGGCAACCCAAAATTCCTATAACTTTTTTTTGTAGGTTCCCAGTATTTGGGGGCACTGATAGTTAGTTACAAGTTAATTTTGAATTTTATTATATAACCAGTAAGTCTGATTTTAGTTTCTGACTGTGTTTATTATTTACTTGCTTTTTCCTGACCAAGCCTGATTCTCAAAAATCTCTGTCTGAAGAGATTGAATTTTAAGGCTATGACTCAATATTACTTTCATGAGACACATTTTGGAAGAACAATACTTGGTCTAGCAGAGCTGTTCTAAATCATCTTATAATGTAGAGTCCTCTTCCTATTACAAAGAATTTATTGTTTAGATTTGATTTAAGCGACTGTTTTGGAGGATTTTGATCTAAGCATTTGTGAAGGTAATCGTGAAAGTAGAACAAAACATACATAGTCTTAACACGAGATAAATGTGACCATATAAGGTGGAAGAATACTATTGGCTCCTATATCTTAAAATTAAGGAACAATGAGTATTCTTAAGTATTTATTAGCATTGGTTTGTTTTGCTATTTCTAGAATATATATTTTCTATATATAAATTTTCTCTATCATAAATTACAACAATAACCTGAACAGAACCTTGGTAATCATAAAATCTAACTTTTTCATTTAAAACATAATAAAATGAGTCCAGATAAGTTTCCTAAAAATCATACAATATGTTAGGGATAAAGCCGAGTCAGGAACCGTGAATCAGTAAGCTTTTGCTGTATAACAGTCTACTTCAAAACATAGTGTGGTAGGGTCCTCTCCTTAAAGAGGAAAAAGAAAGAGAGAAAAAAGGAGGAAAAAAACTCCAAAAACCTCACAAAACTTCAAGGTAACCTGGCTCTGCGCCTATGTGAAAACATCCCTCATGACCTTGTAAACTGAGACCACTTAGTCAGACTACATGTTTGTATGTGTTCCCATATATGGGAGACAAAGAAATAGAAAACGTATTAAAAAAACTATGCCATGTGACATTCGATGCTCCATTCTTCCGGTATGAACCCAACTGAGTGGCACCGCAGGAATAAAGTTGCTTCCTGGAAATTAAACAGCCTCGGTGTCACGACTTTGTGCAAGAATCCTGCCACAATAATAGCTTAAAAATATCATTTATTCAGCTACAATTCTGTGGGCTAGTAGTTTGGACTGGGATCGGTCAGCTAGATATATTTTCTGTCAGTCTTCTCTCATGTGTCCCACTCAGTTGTTAGGAAAACTAACATCTGAATTATCTAGGAAGATCTCATTCATGTGTTTGGAGGCAGCAGTCTTTTGGTCAGAGCAATGGGTTAGCTGGTCCGATGTGTCCCTCATCATCCAAGAGGCTAGCCTGGGCTTGTTGGATGCTGGCGATTACAGGACTTCTGAGAATAGCTGGGGTAGAAGCTGAAAGGCCTCTTGAGGTTTAGGCTTCATTTTGCACAGTTTCAAATCCATTGCATCCTATTGGTCAAAGCAAGTCATGAAGCCAGCCCAGCTTCAAGGGGAGAGAAATAGATTCTACCTCTCAAAGGGAGGAACTTCAAAACATTTGCAGCCCTTCTGTTGTTTGTTTGTCTGTTTCACAATCTCAAAACCTCACTGAGCTAATTTCCAGTCTGTGACCCTCTCAGTACGGAATCCCCAGATAAGCAATTAGATAAGATAGACTACCTCTTTACTTAACAGTAACTAATTTTTGTTGATGAAACAGTAGACTAATTTTCCTTGATGAAACCAAAAAGTTATGCTTGAAATGGATCTTGAAGAATAGATTTTTCAGACAGATATTTAAAAGTTGTGTCAAGATATAAAGAAAACGATGTGGAAAAGCACAGAGCTGGAGAGAAAAAGACAGGCTTTGGGACAGTGAGGAAATCAGCATGACTTGTGGGTTAGATCATGGGGAAATGGGGTGGGGTCTTCCAAGCCTGGTGATAAGACATGAGAGGGATCTTCTGGTATGCAGAATGTCTTTACTTCAAAGCAGGAGCTCTGCTGCCCAGTTTTATTTTTAAAAAATGGGTTTTTAGCTCATAAGAAGCAGCAGCAAGGTAGACTTTCCATTTTGGGAAAACAACTCCCCTGCCCCCCGAACAGGAAATCTGAACAAATGGAAGTTCTGTGAATTGAAGGATACCGGTGTATAGCAGAAATTCTATGGATTCAGGGGACAAAAATTTCATTATCACAATGAGGGCATGAGGGCAGCATGGACTGGAACTGATGGCCCAGGAAAGTGCACAGTGCTCTGCACGGGTCATGTCATCAATGAGTCAGAGATACAGGTTACAGTCCAGGAGTTCAGGAAATAGAACATAAATCAGTCAGCCCACCAGATGGCTCTAGCTCAGCACTTCCTGTCTCAAAATGACCACAGGAAGTGAGATGTCATGAAGCCTGCAGGTGGGAGACATCACTGGGGTTGATGAAAGCAGATGCAGGAAAAGGCAAAGTCAATTTGACTACAAAATCCTTTATCAATTTCTGGCACATTATAACTCCTGTAACTCAAAAGGAAATAATCTTCGGACTATCTTTGCAAGCTTATAAAAATGTATGAACTAAAGGATCGCCTTTAAAAGAAGAGGGCTTTGCTTATTTCTTTTTAAATATTTTTTATTTATTTCTGAGAGAGAGAGAGACAGAGCATGAGCAGGGGAGGGTCAGAGAGAGAGGGAGACACAGAATCTGAAACAGTCTCCAGGCTCTGAGCTAGCTGTCAGCACAGAGCCCTACAAGCGCCTCAAACCCAGGAACCATGAGATCATGACCTGAGCCTCAAACCCAGGAACCATGAGATCATGACCTGAGCTGAAGTCGGCCGCTTAACCGACTGAGCCACCCAGGGCCCCCGCTTATTTCTTATTTCTTAAAGGTGATAAATTAATAGCGTAAGCAACGTGGAATGCTACAGCTAAAAAATGTTAGTTTAGATCCTTTTGCTTTAATAAATGGAAGCGTATCAGTTGATATTCATATATGTACCCAGCACCATCTTTTATTTCCCTAATTCAACGTCTGTTTCAATTAATCACGTGTTCCATAGTTATAATTGGTACTCTGCTCTGTGGTTTTAGTTGAACACCTATTTGTAAATTAAATTACCTATTCGATTTTTGTTTGTTTCAGAGGATATTATAACGTCCTTCACAGTGTCCATTGCAATTGTGCTTGTAATTGGAGGATTTATTTGGGCTCTGTGTGTCTGTTTGTCTCGAAGAAGAGCCAGTGCTCCCATCTCGCAGTGGAGTTCAAGCCGGCGGCCTAGGTCTTATAACCATGGCCTCAACAGGACTGGGTTTTACCGCCACAGTGGCTGTGAACGGCGGAGCAACCTCAGCCTGGCCAGCCTCACTTTCCAGCGACAAGCTTCCCTAGAGCAAGCAAATTCCTTTCCAAGAAAATCAAGCTTCAGGGCTTCAACTTTCCACCCCTTTCTGCAAAGTCCGCCACTTCCGGTGGAAACTGACAGTCAGCTGGTGACTCTCCCTTCCTCCAGTGCAGTTCACACCATCAGCACTTCGCACAGTCTGAGCCGCCCAGATTTCCACTGGTCCAACAACAGTCTTCGAATGGGCTTTTCCACACCGCCCCCACCTGCCTATGACTCAATTATAAAAGCGTTCCCAGATTCCTGAGGACGGTGCTTCTGTTTTTAATTTGTTTCTTCCTTTTCTTGGCTTTTCTTGAAAGAAGATGACAAACCAGCTAAACGGAATTTTGAGGGCATGACCCAAACAGCTAATGGGTTCCCGAGCTGAATTCTGTTCATGCGCTATAATTCAATGCAGAAAATGTAAAACACATTTTCTATGAATACCCTTTTTCCTTGTGTCTCACAAAATAGTAATATTTTCCAAAAAGTTATATATTTATGTTTTTTGTACTCAATCTGAAGGTTTTTAAGACAATGATTCTTATCTAAGACTCAGCTGTGATCCAGTATATAAATATTTTAGACTAAAATTAAAGCTTTTGATACTTGTGATTTACAGTCCTCATTGACTGTCCTATGTGACTGCAAAGGGAAAAAAAATCACTAGGTCACTTTAAAAAAAAAATCTATTCTAAAGAATTTTAATTTTACCTTATTCAGTGACGTGAATCATTTTACAGTCTTGGATTTTTAATAGATTATATGAGCACAAAAATGACAGAACAGAGATTTTCAAGTACCTTGATGCCACTCATTTGTGAAAGTGTGGGAACCAAGCAAAGGAAGAGAACCTGTGCGCGTTATAGGACACTTCAATTCTGACACTTATTCCCCCAACCCCTACCCCAGCCTCTTCTTGTGCCTTCCCCAAGACTAGTTATCTGCATCACTGAGGCAAAATCCTTGGGTTTACTAAGATCATTTAACTTTTCTTCACTGTTGTAGCTACGTTGTTACAAAAGCAATACCAGCAAATCCAATTCTTTGACCTAAAAACAAACTTGAATAACACCAAGCTTACATTTTTCCTTAAGGATCAATTTTATTTCTTAGATAGAAGTATAGCCACTGGGGAAAGCACTTTATCTAGGGACCATCTCTTGTGACTTTAAAGACCAATAAAGGTCAGTAGGGAGGAAGTCTATCATGAAATAAATGTTACAGCCATGTAGAGTGCCCCTTCCTGGATCAACTCATCAGAAATCATCCCTTGTTTGCTTTTCTACAAATTTCAACCTTAGATTCTATGAAGAGTCTTTGTACAATGATTAAACCATGCCACATAGTCTTTGGTGCAGACACTTATTTAAGGAGTCCATTTCCACAGAGGGCCACCCTCTTGAAGCAAGATACATTCCCAAATATGGGCACCAGAGAGCTTTAGTGGCCAGATGCCTATGGCTGTCCCTTTTCATGTAAGGACACAAGTTCACTGGAGTATTATTCAAAAGGCCTATAGTTCCTTTCTGATATAGTGACTATTGAGCTTATGTTGCTGTTTGTTTGTTTCTCTGAACATTGAGATTTTCAGTGAAGAAAAATGTACTATCATTTTAGCTTCTGCAGTGCAGTGCTCACAGCTAATAGTGTCTGAATATGGTTCAAGGATGTAATAATTTTTACATAGTAAGAGATTCTGTGCAGCATTCTCTTTATTATTTTTATTTAGCATATATATTCCATTGTTCCTTAAGAACAATTATTCTTAAGGATGTTTATCTATAGATATAATGTAATATACCAACAAGAAAGAAAGAAAGAAAGAAAGAAGAAAGAAAGAAAGAAAGAAAGAAAGAAAGAAGAAAGAAAGAAAGAAAAGGAAAAAGAAAGAAAGAAAAAAAGAAAGAAAGGTAGGTGAGGAAGAGAGGTAGGGAGGAAAAAAGCACTTAGGAAGAAGGGAAGAGAGGATCAAGAAAAGTATTAAGAAAAAAAAAACCCTCACAGGATAACCAATTTGTTGTAAGTTGGTTTTTAACAAATTTAGCAACTGTCATGTTTCCACATAAGATTTCAGGAGACAATTAACTTGGTAACTAAGCTATCTTTTCTTCCATGTCAACCTTAATGTTTCATATGAGAAGTAAGCCAAGTGTATGGCTTTTATCTAGAATTTTTACCGGGATAAAAATCGCTTCATAGTTCTCAAATTAGGAAAATGGGAGCAGAAATCCTGTGGCGAATTTAACCATCTGGCAGAATTGTTGCCTCCCCTTTCCTCAAGTTATGAAACAGTCAAAATGAGTATCTTATAAATATTGTGCAATTTATGAAATGTGAAATTAAGCAAAAACTAGAGACTTTTTAAGTTGTATCTGTTTAATTTGGAACATTTAGTTGATGATGCAATAAAATCCAACTGATGTCAGTTTTGATTCACAGTTTATTTATTGAGTGACCTGTGAATATCTCATATTTACTTTGGTATTTTAATTCTAGACCATTCCTTATCTATTTAATTCTAGAGACAAAACTTTATTTTATATAGAAATGGGTAACAAAAAGAGGTTATATCATTAAAAATGGAGCAAGATGTTTTAATTAATAATGCAGATGGAAAATGAGTACTTTTTTGTTAAAAATATTAATTTAGATTCTTACTTCACTAACAAGTAATTCCAGAATTATTTACTTAACATTTTTAGAGGATAAGCTTTTTTCTGAGATACAGTGGATATGTAACATTATATTCAGTTAGGTGTACAACATAAATACATTGATAAATATATTATCTATCAATGATTCAGTATAAGCAAACTGATTCAGTAGAAGTATATCACCACAAGTGCAGTTAGCATCCATTACCACACATAGTTACAAATTCTTTTTTCTTGTTATAAAAACTTTTAACATCTACTCTCTTATAATTTTTATATATAAAAGTCATTATTATTGACTGCAGTCACCATGCTGTACATTACATCCCTGGAAATTATTTATTTTATGACTAGAAGTTTGTACCTTTTGACTACCACCCATTTCCCCACCCCCAATTCTGGCATTCATCTATGCATTCTGTGTATGCATGAGTTTCAATACACATTTAAATTTGTTTTAATGTTTTATTTATTTTTTGAGAGAGAGAGAGAGAGAGACAGCGTGAGCAGGGGAGGATCAGAGAGAGAGAGAGATACAGAATCTGAAGCAGGCTCCAGGCTCTGAGCTGTCAGCACAGAGCCCAATGTGGGGCTCGAACCCACGAACCATGAGATCATGACCTGAGCTGAAGTCGGACGCTTAACCGACTGAGCCACCCAGGTGCCCCTAAATACACATTTTAAATAAAATCAATATTAAAATGAGAGGAATTTAAAGTGTTTGGCAAATCTGTGAACAGAACAGGACCACTTTTTAAGAGCCAAAGGAGTGGAATAAATTGCAAAGGAAAATATTAATAGCTTTGATTATTTGAAAAATTCTGAAATTATGTTCATCAAAAGATAAACTTACCCAAAATGTAAAAGCATGGAGGAGGAGGAGAGACTCACCATAAACATAACAAACAAATGGCCAATATCTTTGGGTTATGATTTACTCATACAGATAGACATGGAAAACATTCCATTTTACGTTGCTAAAGGAGTAAAGGACCAAAAGAGATTTATCAAAGAGAAAATTTAATTAACAAGTATATGGTGAAATAGCTAGTATTAATGCTAAGAAATTGTATTTATATATTTTAACAGTATTCTAGCAATTTTGACTACCACCTTAGCTGATCATTTATAAAAGAATGGAATCTCCTCACTGTTGACAAATAAGCTAAGAGAGTAGTGCTCTCACACATTTCTGGTGGTAAGGTAAATTGGGACTACCCTTTTAAAAGACAGTCTAGGGGCACCTGGGTGACTCATCGGTTAAGCATCCGACTTTGGCTCAGGTCATGATCTCATGGTTCATGGGTTCGAGCCCCACGTCGGGCTCTGTGCTGACTGCCAGCTCAGAGCCTGGAGCCTGTTTTGGATTCTGTGTCTCCCTCTCTCTCTGACCCTCCCCTTCTCACACTGTTTCTCTCTCTCCCTCTCTCTCTCTCTCAGAAATAAAGAAAACATTTAAAAAATAAATAAATAAATAAAAGACAGTCTGGTAAAATGTATCAAGAGTCCTACACTAGACAGATCATGAGGTCTCATAGTGTCTGCTAGGTACACAGTTTCCTTTGAGAAAGATGACAGGGGCATTTGGGGAGGCCAGTATTGTTATATTGGCCATGCATGATAGAGCCAGGATATCTCATAGCAGATCGTGAGTAAGTGACAATGAGATCTTTCCTGCTTTGGGCTGACAGGTTGGGATAAAGGGAAAGTGAGGGAGAATTCCCTGCAGCAACACCTCAGAGGGAAGGAGATACATGAATAGCAAAGTCTGGGGCTAAAGCAGCATCCTTTTAATAAACCCCCATTACTTAGTTACATATTTATAGTTATGGTTCCAATACTTGAAAGAAATTAACCCCTACATCACTCAAAGAGTAGGTGATAAGAAATGGACTCTTAGCATGGGATAATTCTGCCCTGGCCCAGGCATGTGCGTTACTGCTCTGGTCTGTATGTCTCACAAGACTCCACACTTCGGATTACTTTCTTGAAATTTTCCAAGTCACAGTCAGTGTGTAGTACTGGCCACGACTGGCAATGCTATCTGGATAAGGTGTCTTAAGCCTGGATCGGAACCCATGTGGGTCTTGGTCTCTGTTTCTTCTTTCTGGGTGCTCTTTGATCCTTTGTACTATGTGTGGGGTTGACCAGATGTCCCAGGAGTTTTACAGCTTTTATCTTTGTATTTTTCTGCCTTGTTATGGTTGGGTCCAAGTTCAAGGAGGCAATCTAGCAACCACACTACATCTGCTGAATGGGGCCTGTTTCTGTTGTAGAATCATAGATTCAATAGATAACCAGAATGCCACTAACATGCTAATTTGCAATAACTCACTCAAAATGAAGATTTTTTTATGTCTACTGAATTTTTATACACCATTTAATTTTATAACACTATCTAAGTGTTATTTCTGAACACATTAAATATTTATAGAAAAATCACTATACCTCACATGTGTGCATGAATTTTGTAAAACATTTTATTTGCCATATTTTTCTAATTGGCTTTATTAAGTGATTCATGAATGGGGCAAACAGAGGGGAGCTCCTATAAAACATTTTAAGTCAATTTTTAAAAATATAATAGGGCCGTACGAAAAATATTAATCAGAGTCTCATATACCCTAGGTGTCCTGAGATAATGTAGGCAGACATAAGACATTGGCCTAACCTGATTTGGAAAGTAAAGAGTTCAAGATTTGAGGCAATAAATGGTTACCATTTCTGACTCTGGCAGTTCAGACATTATAGTTATTGAAGAGCTTTGAGTCTTATAGCTTTAGACTTATTCCAAGGGAAGAAGCCATGTAGGAAGAACAGGTCTTTGATCTTTCTAATGGTCAAGGTAAAATAGAAAGCAGGCATTTAAGTAACTGCTTAAGTAACTGGTTGCTCTTGCAAGGTATGTTGTGGAAAAACTAGATCCTTGGGCCAAAGTAGCTGACCAGGAGGAGATAGAACTCCAGG